GGAACCAAAAGGATCAAAGGATTACATGGTTGCAATCAACAGCGAGAGTTAATAAAGGGGAATGTGAGAGAACAGTAGGGTCAGGACTTGAATCAAGTAACAGAACCTAGTTTGGGAAAGCTTAGAGGTTTTTGTTATGTTTTGTTTGCTTGTTCCGTTTTATTTTGTTTTTTAATCAGCAGCGATTGTCTGTTTTCCTAGGGCTTGTGAAAGAAGACTAGCCAAGAAAAAGCATGCCGTCATTTATGCCTCTCCAGTTTCACACAGTCTTTGGGGAGCGCCCAGTGAGGCCACCATAAAAGGCCATCTTTTCAGCGCATTAGTAAGTGAATTGCTTTGGAAAAGGACCAGGACTAACCTTATCTTCTACAACGCGGAACAATGCTAATGAGGCAACAGTGGAATTCAAAGATGTGCATTGAAAGTTTCTGTTTGCCAACACCACATACTGCCGCAAATGTAACAGTGAGACTTGTATAGAGGGGCTCCAGCCTGTGCCAGGGCACAGGCTAGAATGGGGCAACGTCTCTATTCGTGGGGTTTATAGTTCAATAAGGGCAACACCGCCTGTGGTAGAAAAAATTGGAACACACTCAAAAAAACCCAGTAAGTGAACAGAGAAGGGGAAATCATGGGCACTTGGGTTGTCAGGAAAACTCATCATTGTTTGGCCTTAGAATCTATGGAGGTGGTCCCAAGACACGGGAATTAATAAGCCCTGAGGGGGGACCCGAATGAGGGGCTCCGAAAGTGGCCTGATGGTCGGAGCTGATACCAGCCGTAGGTGCTGTGTGAGGACCAAGGAGACGGGATCCGGAGAGGGGTCCACGAGCAGAAAGTGGAAATAATTCACAAAACGCAACATGAGCTCAACCAGGAGGAGGGAGAGCCTCAGAAGTGAGCACTAAAAAGTTTGAATCTAACTCAAAAGCCAATGGGGGCATTAAACTTTCTCAATCAACTGGTCATAATAATTGTCTTTCTATTGTGATTTTCCTTCAGGAGATAGCTACCTTTCAAGAATTCTGCCTTTTTAAGAATGAGTGGTATTGACAGGAAATTAGATCCTTGTTTCTTTCATTAAGGAAGTATAGGGGTAGGAGAAGTGGATCAAAAATATTTTAATTCTTCTTAGGGAGAAGCAAACAGATTGTTGGCACTTCCTCTCAAGAGAGTCAACCATTTTGTAAGGGAACAGACGTTAGTTGGAGGATGACCTTCTGTCAGGGCACTGGCCCAGAGGCATTCTGGGAGGCCCGTAAAATAAGCAGGCTAAGATGACAGAAGAATCTGAGAGCTGGGAGCAAGCGAAGCTGCCTGGGCACCGGAGGTGGTTCCAGGAGCAATTTAAATGATGAAGTGATAGGCGCTAAATACAGAGGGAACTCATCGGACAGGGCAATCAATCACTGCCAAGCTTATCTCCTGACAAGGAGTAGGACTGCAGCTTCCAGATGTACCATTAAAATGTAATGTCTCCCCTGAGACTGGGCATGGCAGGTTTCCCTGAAGCTTTGGGTTCACTCAGTTGACTAATTATGAGCAAATGTGACATTGGTATTTATTTTTTCTACAGGGACAAATCCTTCCCAGCAGGAGGGGGATGTTGTTGTTTTTGTTCTGTTTTGTTTTGTCATTAAAAAGAAATGACTGACACAGTAGTAAATACACTCTTGTTAGAGAGAACAATTTTTCCCCCTGTAATTCTATCAATTCACTTGAATGCTGACAATCATTTTTTGTTGTTGTTGTTTTCTGTGGACATGGTGGATAAACGAGCAAGAGTTGTGTGCTGGAACTGGGTTTGAAAATGAACTCTATCACATACTAGATCAGTGGTGTGATCTTCAGCAAGTTATTTAAGAACTCTGTGTCTGTTTCCCCAACTAGAAAATTGAGGATAATATCTGCTCTGCGGTGTTATTGGCAAAAGATTAAATGAAATAATGTAGCTGAAGCACTTTAGCACCGTGTCTCCACATAATAAGCACTCGATAAATTTTCGTCTTTATTCTTAATGACTCTGATACTCTATTACATAAATAGAAACACTGTACATTTCACTTATGCCTCATATCCTCAATTCTATATGACCTCACTTCTAATCATGAACTGAACCTTTACTGTAACATTATAAGCTAAATTGTGCATTAACCATTTTACTACTCCTCACCCAGATGGAAGAAGGCTTCCAGTGAAAATTTAATATTGAATAATAATGTTGAAGGAAACAGTTTTCCTCCACCATCACCACCGCCACCACCACCATCACCAGTTCTATCATCACCACCACCACCACCCTCATGACCACTACCACCACTGCCATCACCACCACTACAGCAACACCAACACCAACATCAATCATGCATCCCCACCACCATAACCACCATCACCACCACCACCACCATCTCCCCCTCCCCCACCCCCCAGCACATCTTTTAACTTTCCAAAGGCAGTGTGCGATGCTGAGCAAGCATCACTAGTAAACTTACACATGCAGACCCACTGCCTCGGACAATAGCATTATGTTTTGGGGGAGCTTTTAACAAATTGGAAAGTGATTTTGCAGCTAATTTCCCATTTGAATTCCTGGCAGTCCCATGATGTGGGCAGGGTAGACGTGACTCGCCCCACCTTACAGATAAGAAACTAAGAAAGAGTCAATGACAAAGCCACACTATTCAAGCATATTTTCTATGAAAGGGTAATCTGCGGTAATTGAGAATACCAGGGTTATTGGACTTGGGAAAATTAGATTTCCTTAAGAATCAAGTTTGTTTTGAAGGTAGAGTGACCAGTTATGAGAGAATGCAATCATTGGTGGAAAGTGAGCAAAATAGAACGTCAAGAGGCATAGGACTTTATATTCCAATTTCACAATTCATTTGCCCAGTGTGCCTCAATTTTTCTACTCATAAGTTTGAGAAAGCAAAAATGCCACTTCTTACTGCTCTTACCAGTATTCTGCATTGTTGTTACTGTGCACAAATGTAAGCTTAATGATATGACATTCAAGAGATTTTATGCTAATCCAATATGAACACTTAAAAATGTATAAACATAAGAAAACATATTTTAAGTACTAGTAGAAAATCTTGGTGATAAAGAAAAGAATATTTTCCCAATACATGGGCCAGATGATGATGAAAAACTGAAATAAAATTATTAGGATCATCACCATTACAATTTCACATTATATATTTGAATTATTTTTGGAAGTTGTAGAATCAAAGTAAGAGGCATAGACATGTAAACAATTTTTTCAAGCCATGCAAATATAAAAGCCTTCTAACTTGGATAATGTTTCTTCAACTAATTACAAATACAGTTCTTAAGATAACGAATTCTGAAATGCTGTAAGGGCTGAGCAGGTCTTTCTGGTGGGAGTCACCTTGCAGGACTTCCAGCGTCACTGACATATGCTCACTGATAGCTCATGGCCCCTTAAGAAATCCTAGAGGACCAGAGAATTGTAATTCAGAAGTCCCCTTCCATTTTCAGAATGGGGGATAAGTGCTTATTGATCAGAAGACAAAAGCAAACAAAGGTCATTAAGGGGAACCTGAGTTCAACATAAAAACCAAACACACGTTTTTAGTTTATCATTTGAGTCTAGAAGCCCAAAGACCTCTAAGCATGCAATAAAAAAACCTAGTCATACCAACACCGATACGCAAACCAGCACACAATAGTAGGATATCACTAGGGGGTCGACTGCCTAGATGTAATGTTGAATTGCTAGAGTAGAAAGCATGGATAGAAGGGAAAAGATGCCAAAAGAAGTGATAAGCAGTAGAGGAAGACAAAGATTCCATCATTTAGGACTTTCCATTTCACATTAAAATACAATAGTGGAAAGGTGAATACAATCCATTGCTCTATTGACATGATTTCTTCCTTCGGGCAATGGGAGTAGATACTTACTATGGAACCATCAGTTTCATGCTATCTTGGCATGCAGTGAACTAGAGGAAGGAAATCTAGAGAGGTATGATTATCAGTAAAAGACATTTTCAGAAGTCCAAGTGAAGACATGGAGAGGCCCTACGCTAAAGCAATGGGGGTGGAAAAGAGACTAGAGATAAAAGAAATATAAAAAAACAGAGGGACCAGGTAGAAACAAGGAATGAGGAGGAATGCTTCAGGTAGCTTTCATGTTTTTTTACTTGGCTGGCTGAATGGAAATGGAACCCTTAGCTAAATTAGGGAATGCATGAAGAAAGCCAGTAGCACTCTTAGAGGTCTAGTTTACGCCTCTTTGATAAGAATTCATGGAATTTCACTTTGTTTTGCAGTAGGTGTGTGTCAGCCTACCATCCCCTTCCCCACTAGACCCATAATGCTCCTTGAGGGGAAACGTTCTGTGTCATACACCACAATAGCGTGTTTGTATAACACGATTCTATAGCATAGCTGACCCATGGTAGACACTTATTGAACATTTTTTAATGACTTATTGAATAAATAAACAACTACCAAGGGTAGATGTGACAAAATCATACATTTTAGCCTTTGAATAAAACAGCTGTTCCTTAAAATGCAAATAACTTACCTAGGCTGGGTAACAACTCATAGCACTTACCAATTAGACTCATTTCAGACACCTAACGCCCTGTGCAAATCCCAATGTCCACACTGGAAGGGACTTTTGGGAATGTCTATTACAAACCCCCATTTTAAAATGTCTGTGATTCAGAGAAGGTATATGGCTCGCCCAAAGTCACAAAAAGTGACTGGTGATGGGACAGCAATCAGGCAGAATATATTCAGCTTTCATATTTGTCAATCAAAATGACTGTAATGTATTTGAAGAAATACAAGACATTAAATTTAGCTATGTTGAATTAAGATTTTAAAAGTGCTTGATATTTTACACTAAAAACAAAATACAAGGCAAACACTTCAGACACATTTTCTTAAATAATTCTTCCCCCCAACAATGAAATGCAAGGACCAGAGCTCAAATTTTAATCCTGAATTAGTACAAGACAGATTCTTACCGTGATCTTCTGAAGAGACTGGTGACCTAAAATGAGATAATAAGCATGATAAATCTTTTGTAAATAATACTGATAATTAAAAGTACAACAATGATCAAAAATAACCTCATAGAAATTAATCCCCAAAATTCAGTTAACTAGAAATTCAGTAGAATAGACAGTGTAATTAATGGTTGATTGCATGGAATATTCCAATTAATAACTCCCAAAGCTTACCTGGATTGGTTGAGTGGCAGACGTCACTAAAATCTCTACTGCGTGGTGTTACAGGACTGTACAAACTTAGTTAAGTCTGGCTTTATCACATTCAAAAAAGAGAACTCATAGAAATGTGTAATAGATGAAATCCTGTGATATTAGAGTGTCACTAAGTGCTCAAGGCCAGGCCTCCAAAGAAAAACTGCCAGAGAAGTAAATAAGCACTAGGCTGAGCGTCCATAGTGAAAAGAAATCTATTCAGACCATAAAAAATATGAGACAGGTGTAAAAAAAATGGCAGGTACCGTTATCATTGTTGTCTTTTGTTTCCACTCTTTGTGGCATTTAATGTTTGAATGACATTGACCTTCTATTTCTGGCTGTATGTCTCTAAACCTGTGAGAATCAGCATAAGGAAAGAGGGCAACCATTGGGGTCCCACAGAACTTTTATAAATCAATGACTTGTGCATGCTATTTGAGGTTCAGCTCTAATCATGATAGTCAAATAGCAATGGAACATCGTATGAACTCCTTTCACAATAAAAACTTTTCTTTCTCAGTTGACTACTAATTGAGTTACTCTGAGCAACACAAACATGGTTACGTGGGTGAAGTCCCCTCAAGCTTGAACTATACAATCTTGACTACTAACTCTTTCTTTTCTGGGGAGAAAGAGAGACATGTGATACTGGATTCAGAGGTGTTAGAATCTTGAAGGAAAAAGAAAGAAATCGGTTGGGAGGAGTCCTCCCCTCTAAACAATCAGCTTCCCAGCACTCCCAGCAGGGAGGTGACCAAAAGCAAATGCAAGAGTTTGGTAATAAAGCTACCCATTAATATTGTCACTATATTTATGCGACGTGATGACAAATGTTGGAGAAAGAATGATTCAGTGGACGCATAGAAGTTTAAGGAAAATTTTAGCTAGTTTGGGATCCTTGACACTGCTTTACTTTATCTACTGACTAGTGATATTTTTGTCCATAATGTGAGTGAAGAGTCAAGTATAAAGACACAATAGTGTCATCAGTGATAAAGTGTCTCATCATTTAACCTTACAGGTCTCTTCAAGTCAACTTTTGTGTGTGAAAATGACAGAAGGTCCCAAGATTTGGTGAGGAGAAAACTGGCATCTGGGAGATGGGTAGAGGGAGCAGTAAGGGGGAATGTGACATCATCCTAAGTCATCACTGCGGAGTCAGCTGCTCGAGAAATGCCACTTGGCCTCTGGATGGGTCTGACCTGTCTTCTTGGTGTTCTTGTTTCATACTGTTCCCACGCTGGTCTTCGCCACTAGGTTGTGACCTCCTTGAAAACTAGGACCCTATCTTATTTCAAACATAGTGGGCCCCTGATTAAAATGTGTTGAATACATTGTAGCACCCCTACCCTGGTCTTCAGATTCAGACACATTCAGGACCGCCTCAGAAAATCATCATGGCACCTTCAAGCTACCTTCAAGACAAGTTGGTCAGCTCCTAGGCCAGCTGTGAGGCAAGAGCCATGGGAATGACCCTGAAGCTCCAGGTTGGTGACAGTGTGGGCACTGTCAAGGCCAAAGACAACTAATGTACCCAGCAATGGAGATACCCACCATCGGCCTATATACGATTAGGAAAATAAAAGAGGAGAGAGACGGTGTTGAATAGAGGTAAAATAGGATTGGCAGGTGAGTCTAAAGAAAAACATATATTGAGACAATATAATTTCTTAAGCTGCCCATGGCATAAAAAAAAGTCAGCAATAAGGAAAGTTCTTTACCCCTGATGCTTTCTGATGGGAAGTAAGCAAAAACATGTCTTGGATTGCTTGCAATTAATTTGTCACAGTTACAGAAACGAAGAAAAACTCAGGCCAATGAACGGCTCAGTGTCTCAGGTCGGGGGTTGGGGGGTTGGGGGTTTGCCTTTTTGTGAAGGCGAAGCACTAATATTAAATCTGAAAAATTCCAGATGGCTCCGTTCATGTCCCAAGGGGATGCAGTCTGCGGTAAGTCCAGGCGGTGGGGAAGGGCTATCGATTTCAGAGTGTTTTCGGAGGGTTAGTCACGTTGAGTTTCTGTGCTGAATGTCTCCCACACGCCTGCATTTGTGGAATTTCAAGACATATGGAGTATTTCAATCCTCACTCAGTATTTCACCTTTCACTCTAACGAGTCACTAAATTATACAACCAAGACATGTACATCATACATTACGCCTGGAAATGGGCAGAAGTTTTACAGAACTTAGCAGGGAAGAAATATTGTGAAATCAGCAATAGAAGTTATTTTTAAAACAGAGGGGTTGAGTCCCAGGAACAGATAATCTTCCTCAAACTGACGACTAAGGGACCCATGAAAGCTCGCGGCCTCCTCTCCCCACCGCACCTGAAAGGCTGGTGTTTTGTCCGAGAATGTTTATTTCTCCTCCATAGACACTTTGTCTTGGAGATAGCATCTGACCTCACAATGTAAACTCTGATGAGCGTTCAGTAACTCCAGGATACTTCCTCATCACGTCTTTCCTTGCCACTCATCTTTTATTATGGCCTACAGAATCTTATAGTTTATTTTGCATTCTTTGATTTGTTTGGGTTCATGTTTACATTTTTATTTCCATTTCATTCAAATTCAGCAGAGTAAAACAATAAAAACCAAACTCACGTCTTGCATTTTAAAATCTTCCTTTTAGTTGATCAAACCTGAATAATTATTATTCAGGTCTGAATTTTTCAATTTGTGTTGATTCAAATCTGAGTAATAATTATTACTTGAGACCCTATTAAGGACCAGGCCCTGTGTCCAGGGATGGGGATGCCAAGATGAACAAAATAATCGGTTTCAAGGAACTCATAATCTGTTAGAGAAAGAAATATGTAAATAAATGATTATGATTAAATGAAAACAATGTATTGATCTATATCTCTCTATATATATTTATATATGTGCGTGTGTGTATGTATATATATGGAGTAAAGAAGTAGCATTGACGAGAGGGAGACCAATTCTGCTCCAAAAGGGAGAAAGATGGCTTAGAAAGCAAAAGCCCTCTGAGCTGGGCTTTGCAGGGTAAGTAGGAGCTTAGCAGGTAAGTAAGAAAGGAGGAGAATTCCTGGGAGAAGCAACAGGCATGTGAAACGGAGGGCAGATATGAGATTTCATAATATGTTATCAGGTATACAAGTAATTCAGTGTTGCTAAAATGTAAACGAGTAATAAAGGTTAGGCCTAGAGATACGAGAGGTAGGGGCCGTACAGGGCGTGAGGGGCCACCTCCCAGCCGAACTTGTCATTCACCATCTAAGCTAAATGGAGCAAAATTCTGAAGCAGAGAGGTCACCCACTCTTATTTGTGCTTTGGAACAGGCAAGCTCTGGAGAGCAGACTACAAACAAAGCAAGAACAAAGGCTGAAGATATGTTACAGACTATGATTGCGGATTTCCACATTCATTTCTCTGCGCTTCAATTATTTTTGAAATTCATGGGAAATAACAGAGAGAATGAGAATCAGTAAAGGGCACATCGTTTCTGACTAAACTAGGAGGTGCATGTACACCAGAGTCATCATATACAAAGGACAGCTACCAAGTCTAGGAAAACCGGACCAAGTTTCAGCGAGACAGAGAGACAGTGTTTCGATCTAAGTCAACTTAAGAGACACGAGCTGCATCGCGTACCACAAAACCCACTGACAGAAAGCCTTCTATTTGGAGCCCTGAGTCCTGCTAGTCAGAACTAGAACCGAACTCCGATTGAGTGCTAAGAAAGAGTTTAAGCCAGCAGACGCAAAGTCAAACTTTCGGAAACACACCAACCCACTCTCTCCATCCCAACCTGACTGTTCCGAAACACTTTACCCAATGCAGATATGGGAAATGGACAAAAAAGGAACCAGCGTGATATCTACACAAAAACACCCCAAGACGGAAGCAAGACAAGGATGTGCCGACAAACGGAGCCTGGAACCATACTAAAAAGATGACGTCATGAAGCAGGTAAAGAGTATTAACCGATGTCTGAGAAATTTAGAAATGGACAAAGAGAAGGAAGAAATAAAGAAGATATAAAGGGAGGAAGGAATAAAGGATGGAAATAGAGCCTTCTGTGAACAGAAACTTAAAGAAGAAATAGCACGGTCAAGAAATAGTTCTAAAACTACAGTAGAGAGAAAGAATAAAGATTCGCCCAGATTCTTCACATTACTGCGTTTATAGAGAAAACCTGAGGGCTTTTTCTACTGTCACCGCTGTACTGGGGAAGAGAAGGAGACTAACAGTTAAAACATACTTAAAAACGATCCATTTATTTATTCATTCATTTAAGCTTTGTGGAAGCGTTTCGCCTTTTTTCATTTTGATTTACTTTTCTATGCATTTTGATTTGAAGATTTGCTGGTAAAAGTCTGCTTGCCGATGTTAACCCTGAGTAGTAGACTATCCATGTTTCTCTCCGCAGGCTGCACTTCTCGAACTAGGGTACACATGGGAACTCGAAAACGAGGGGCGCTCCAGGAACACAGGACACGACTTTTCGATGGGGAATTATGTGACTTAACGGGCAAAATGATCATACTATTTCCACGCTGAAACTGGAACAGCCATAGCATGCATCCACAAGCAAACGTCCCTTGAATTCTTAAAATAAAGACCTTGCAGTCATGCCTGATGCTGACTGCTTCAAACACAGATTTTTTTGGTAAGTTTCTCTCTTTATTTTGCTTTTCTTTTCATCTCATGGTTTTAATTCAGTAGCATCCTTGACTCCCTCCCTTCGAATGTCTATATCATTTCCTTCCTTGGAGGAGGTCAATAGAATATCCATTGTAGATAGCCTTTCCTAAAGAT